TTCTCACCTTGTTGGTGTTGTTTTGCGTGACGATTACAAGATCACAACTGGAAAAACTGTCATGGTAAATTTTTTTTCGAGTTCTTTACTGGTCAGAAAAACTTATCAATATCATTTTTTTCGAATTCTTTTATTTTTAACGTTTTTTGTTTTTTATTTTTTATATTTCTTTGGTTTGAATTCATTCGGGTTAGCTTTTTTTTACTCAACACGCTCAGTTGAGAGAGTTACATATATTTAGCACTTGGTGTTTTTTCTGTTGGTACCAAATAGTTTTTAACAAGGAAAAAAAAAAGGAAATCTTTCCATTTTATTTTTTCTTCACATCTTTATTTGTTTTAATTTTTTTTATATCTTATTTTCCATTTATATCTCATAATATCGATTTGAACGGGATTTAAGGTGGAATTTGTGTTAGGGGGGCAAAACGCCGCAATTTGATTTTAGTAATATCGCCAGTCTCATAGAATGGCCTATACATGGTCTGGATCATTTTAAATTGGAAAAGAAAAAACAACATGATTTTTTGGAAGGAGAGGGGGGAAGAGGGGTGGGCAAAGTGGGTGAAAATCGATAGACACATCTTTATGTGTTACTAGGAAGTAGGGAGGAAGAAGTAGCTAGTAGGGGGTTGGCTGATTAGTTTTGTCAAAGAGAAAACAAAAGAAACGGTTAAATGAGAAACGGTATGCGGGTCTTTTAATAACGTTCCAGCTCTTGGAGCGGGAAAATACCTCAGAAAAAACTTTTTAAAAAGACGTCCTCAAATTAATAAGTAAAATTTAATTTTTTCTTAAGCATCTATTCGTTCGATATGCAGTCAGATTGCCTTTTGACTTGCTGAAGGATTACTGTTATTGTTTGTCTCAGCGTTATGGATGTTATTTTGTCGTGTTTAATTTTCCCTTTTTTTTCTTAGTTCTTAGTCGTTTCTATATGATATGACTAGCATTTCCTGGATTTCTAGTTTAAAAAGTGGTTTAGTGGTTCTGTTATTACTAATTTTAATTTTTTCCAGTCTTATTTTTCCGTTTTTTTGTAATTGCGTTTTCATTTCGCGGACTTATCCTTTTTTTTTACGTTCGTTTTTTTTTCTTCCGTCTGTATTTTTTTCCTTTCTTCTGAGTAAATTTCAAGTTTTTTTTTGTAACTGAAGAATAAATATTTTTATCATGAGTGATGTGCGCTTGTTATATGGGACGAAATTTTGGAAGGCTATGTGTTATAAATAATGGTTTTGTGAGTCATTGGGGAAGTGGGCCTAACGGTAACTCTGCAGGCGTTGTCATTTGCAAAACCCACTAGAAATTATACAGAACAGGTTATTTTATTCAGTGATAGTCATTGTCGGTTCTACATGTTGGCCATCTTTTTTCTAAGCTCATGGGCTTCAAATGATTTGGGTTACACTGGTAATATTTATGCAACATTTCTGAGTTGCAGGTTTGAAGGAAATAAATTATTACAGAATTGTTCGGCGGTTGGGACGAGTCACTGGGGAGATGTTCACCATGCATTTGTGTGGTAATTATTTTGTTTCTGCAAGAACCTCAGTAATAGCACTTGTTTTAAAAACTGGAGTAACAAAGCTCTCAAATATTTTAAATTCTACTGTAGTCAGTGCTGTGCGGATCCATATTTCAGATGCTTCTGCCTAAATACTAAACGGGGCATAGGAGATTTAAAAATTATCTTCAAAACTACCGATAAATATGGAATCCTCACGAATTGATTACAGCACTTCTTTCATGAATACACACTTCCGAAGATAACGCGAGCGCAGCCAGCGATTCGTGACGCCTGTGCATTCTACGGTTTACGTTTTCCTCGTCTCTTGCTTGTTCTTCGTACGACATACTAAGTTCCCGCTGCAGCAGTCACGGTGGCATGTTTGACTTCGCGCTGCTTGTGCACAGGTACATCAGCCTTCATCCGCCTACCGCTCTTACAGAACCCAAATATCACTTGTTCAAACAACGAGCGGTAGAAATAATAAATGCCGTCAATAATGCTGTACGTGCAGTCTTAAATCAATCCAATGGAGCGAAACTGATTAGCTGTGACCTAAGTAGTTCCTGGTACGTTTCAGGATATCACAGCGAAGTGGTAGAGATGTTTTAAAAACGCTTGAGAAATCCGTAATCTGATTGAAGGAACATCACGAGGCGCAAGACAAAATTTTGAATAACATTTAACAGGAATGAAATTCTACCAATAAGATAACGTTACGTACTAAGCATTGAAGACAGTAACACTGTAAGGACAAAGAAGGGAACAATTGATGTCGAGCTACAGAAGTACATACAAGAACGGTTTCATGGGTGATCAATTATTACCAGTTTCCCCCTCCCTTAACTAGACGCTCCAGCTGCTTAGCGTATAACTCCATTTTTGCTTCCGCACATTGGTTCCATCTCCCTCTATTTTCGTTAATCCCTTTAACGTGCGCTTATTTCCTTCAAGATCTGCCTTGCTTAATATATCATATGTTTTTGCTTCCTTCGTAAACAGTGACGAATTTCAGACATAGTTATAAGACGACCTTATATCAGCGCTTTATACAATATGTTACACATATCTTTACACCAATTCCGACTGATCAGTCGCACAGCCGCTTGATTTGTTAATTCTGAGATATGAACAGAGGCTAAGCCATAGCACCAAAGGCTTATTCAGCAACCGGAAAAACTCGCTATCTCTAAACTTCAACTAATTCATACTCAAGCGAAAAATTCAACTGCACTCTTGTTTGCTCTAACTCTTTTAGCCTTCGCCACCTTTAACTAACTGTTTACAAAAAAATAATTGTTAATTTTCAACATTAAAACAAGCGCCATTTCAAATCATTAGGCAATGCAGTTTCATGCGTTAAAAATATTCTTCTAAACGTTCCTCCCATTAGGAATACGGCCTTGATCACTTGATGGCTTTACTTCCCACACGCTGTTCTCTCACGGGTAGCCCCAGAAGTCATGGTTATGGGTTCTAACAGTTTGTCTCATTTTCTAAGCTCCTAGTCATAGACTACTCAGTGTTAGTCTTAAATCTTGTATGACTTCATCACAAAAATATTGTTCCATTTGGACATGACTTTATTCAGACATTCAAAACTCTGAATCTCCTTGACGCGTCGTAGCGAGCAAATGGACTCTGAACCGAAGGTAACATAGTGTTATGGACCACTGTAGTTATAGGGTTTCTTCTATCCTTTTGCAGCTTCTGCCTAAAGAAATATTGCCTATTCGCCACCACTAATTGTGTACCAGAAAGGAATCTTACTGCGTTCATTTTGCCAATTTGGTATATTCTTTTCAATAATCTTTAGTTTATAATCTTTGCTTTAAAGTTTATCTGGTACTTCGCTATAAAAATTCAGATTCAACAATAAATCTTAAGGTTAGTGCTAAGTTGTAACTAGTTCTCATAGTAAAAACTGTAGTTTCCTGCTACGGCGTTTCTGCACTGGAGAATTTAATACAGTCGGTATTTGAAATCCTTAAGAGACTAAGCAAAAGCGAGCTTTTATCGAAAATTTCATCTAAAAACGTCTCTGAAGAAGTATTTTTATAATTACAGTTCTCAGTCTCCCCCGTTCTAGGACCGGACATCTTATTACAACTTCCTTATTATTCCCACTTCTGCTAAAAGCACCGTGCTACAATCCCAGTCTAAAGAAGACTTTCATTCCTGTAACCCTAAACGTTAAACAAGTCTGTTGACTTCAAAGCTTAAACTCATCACAGTCTCCCTGAATTGTTTTCGTGTTACACGCTTTTGGAGTAGCGCATCAAGACTTTTGCAATCCTGACACAACCAGCACCTCAACTATTTTTGCCACTCCAAGTGCTCACAAGTTACAAGAACACTCCCCATGCATGCACAGCCCAGCTGCCCTTCAAATCCCTTCTGTAATTCCCTCCGTAAATCTGAAACGTAGCACCTCACTCACCCTCTGATGCTTTAAGTACCACTTGCTTACTGTGATTCAAATAGCGAAAAAAAACTCAGTTGTTGAAAACAGTAGAACAGCGCTGCTTCAAAACAAACAAATTTGACACAGCCCGTTTAAATCTCATCAAAATAGTCGTAAAAGGGTATAAAATAGTTTTTCTTGCGCTACCGGGGTAGGCGGAAACGGTATCAGTCGCAGCAAGCAGAAGCCATCCAAATCTTTTTTGGATAATGCATATCAAGCTCCTAATTACCAGTGAACCTCGCAAAAATCAGCAATGTTGTAACAATGTTGTAATCAACTAATTCCGAATTATATAAACACAAGCATATTTACTAACCCGACCAATACTACAACTTTTAATCAGTACAAACGAAGTGTAATATAATGGAATGAATACTTTCTTGCACTTTTTCGGACAATGTAAGCTGATGACAATTCCTGTTTACATAAATCAAAAAATAAGTTCAAATACGAAGAGAAAAATCAAAGTTAACGGCCCGAAAAAATAAACACTAATTATTTCATGGAGATCTGCTAGTTAAAACAACCGCGTACATGTCTAACAATTAACTGTAAAAAAATAACAACGTACTACAACATATAAAAATGGTAAAGGTGAAGATCCGTTCAGAAATTTCGGCTTCCATAAAAATCGTTTTATCTCTATTTGCCACGTATCACTAACTAAGCTCTCACATAAATTAGGCTCAAAAAAAATGCTTTTTAACACGTCGATCAAAAGAAAATATAACCGAATTGATAAATCTAACATAACAAAATAAGACTCGCAACAATTAATTCTTGAATAGAAATTACTTTAGATATTCTGGAGGCTTAGAAGATTCATTCAAAAGACCATACACTAGAATTCATCACTAACGTGAGACTGATATAATATGGAAGTTAATCGGAAGTCAAGAGGCAGTGGAAAAGATTCACTGTGCTGAGAAGTGAAGTTTGGGAAGAAACTTTAATAAACTGTACGAAAAAAAGACGACCAAGCAATTAACATTTGTTATATGATTCAACAAAATGACATCTCATTTAAAACAATTACGAGATCTGACTAGTTCACCAACAAATAAGGTTAATACAATGGCCTATTTGGTCAACCCTTGAGCTGCAAAAATCAATAAGGTGCGATCTCGGAACTTCTCATTCATGAATAAATAGAACAGTAGAAGCCTCCACATGACTACTTCAAGAACTTCATATGCACAAGCCATTTCCCAAAATTCTGTCTTCCACCTTCTTAGAATCATTAAATGACCTACATAAATGTAAAGAAATCATTATTTTAAAAAGGATTTCCAATAATTCAAATGTAGAGCCAATTTCTTTTTATTAAGAAGAGAATGAGGAAGTATATGATCACAGAAATTACTAAAAACGGCTTACTTATGTAAAACTAGAGGCAGTTTCTTTATGTAATTCTTTTCACCACTTAGCACTATTTAAAAAATAAACGAACAGAAAACCCACAAATGGTTGCTCGACAACCGGCTACTCGGTTTTCTGATCCGCAAAATAATATCAATCCCCACCACCATCAATCCAGAAATAACAGTACCAAGGCCTCCATAAACAAAAATATAGTGATAGGAAGTTTGATGATCACGAACGTATCCTAAAAAGCGTGGTAAAAAGCACCTAATCACACAGCAATGCATCTTCCTTATTATCAGAACCTACATGCCAGCTGCAAATGCCACTAAAAAATTAGAAGAAATTTATAAACAATCATTCTGACGAATACAGCAGTTTGTTGCAGTTTAGGGATCAAGTATTCACTAATCACAAGACGTCTCATAAAAGCAGCTTTACAAGAATTAAAGAGTATTCACCAACAAGCCCAGGTCCAAAAAGATTGCCAAGTCCTTCAACTAAACAAAGAAGACCGTATCCAGTCTGGAAATCATATAAGCAAAGCAGATGGACTGTAATCACGGAAGCGAGTACATAGTTAGCACTAATGAAGAAACCAAACCCAGCGCAAAGCGCCATTAGAACATAATAGGATTTTACAAATGGTGCTATTAGAACACACATTCCTGCCAGGAAGATGAAACCGCCATAAAGCTGCATCAGATACTAAAATACAAATCCATGAACAGGGATCAACTAAAAATACTCAACACAGCATGTATTCAATAACCCAAAATAACTTCAACAAGATATAAAACATGTTTTCAAGAAGCCACGGCAACAACTACACAATTAAAACAGAAACTCACATTTTTCATGATGCTCCAATCCGCAAGCAATCCACAAACTAACATGCTTACTGTGTTGAATATACCAATGGTGGCAACGAGGTATGACGACTGAGTTTCAGTGACATTTAAATGTTGGGTAGCGTGCTCCGGAAAATTTACATATGGAATATCAAAAAACAAATATAAAATGAAAGTGCTGACCAGGTACACAGAAAAGGAAGGGACAGATAACAGTGATACTACTACTGATAGCCACTCTCCGCAAGATTCCATAATCTAAAACAAACACTGCATTTAATGTCATAAATGAGAAATCTTACAAAAAATATGGTCCTAAGACTAGAAGGCCCATTCGCTTCTACAACACAAACCTAAGTATGTTGCTTTCAGCAAAAAGCGAGAAATAATTAGGTTTTTTAACTCTTCTATCACCTTCTTCAACCTCTTTGAAAAATAAAAGGAAAGTAAATCTGTCTAGTCCTATTCATGTTTTAAGATAAAGAACTTGCTTGAAAGATTTTACTTTAAAACACCCGACAATTCAAAAAAGTGGTTTAAAGAATCACTTTTGCAAAACTAATAACATGAGACTTCCTCTTCCGCCTGAAAAAGATGACGGGAGCAGAAGGAGCACGGCGACTCAGCTTGTCAAACCCATGGCATTGCCAGCCAAACATAACAACGTTGGACGCAGGAACCCTGCCCTGCGCAGCACCATATGAACTTGGAAGTTTCGGGAGTTCCTTATTCAGCAAAGCATTAGCTACAAAAAGAAAAAAGCCATTTAATAATAGTAATAATAATAGCAATAACAATAATAATAATAATTATAATTATTATTATAATTATTATTATTATTATTATAGTAATAGCAATAGTAATAACAATAACTTATATCTTCTTTACAGAGGGAACTGTGAATTTCACTTTGATTCTGAGCCTAACAAAATGTTATTACTTTACTGGAGATCTTGAAAACTGAGAAGCTCACAAAATATGTTGGTCCAACCTCTAACTTTCCCCCTGTATGACTTCCCAGCTTTATCGATGGCAAGATCAGATATTCCCAAGAAATTCGTACTTTCATGCCCAAAATCCTCAGCACCTGCAAGCATCTCCTGAAACAAGTGGATTCTCTTCCAAAAAAATCAATTAGAAAACAAAAGATCCTCAGAAAAAAAATCCTGCAAGTAGAAAAGCATAAAACCCAAAGCTATAAAAGACATGTATAGAACTGAGACACAAAAAACAAACTTTTTTCCCCTCTCTTTTTGCTACAGCATCAGTAAATTTTACATCCGTCACGGGTTTCTTTTCAAAAAACCTTTTGATCTGTTTTTCTCCGGTATCAGAAGTAAACGATATTAGCCTAAATAACAAAGCTGCTCACTACCTCAATATCACAATTGAAAAAAAAGAAAGTATAGGTGTATTTGAGTAAAAAACTAACCAATTAAAGCCGAAAAGAATAATTTATTTTCACAGGTACCTGTCCGTCTCTTTTGGTTCAAGTTTTTCCTTCTGAGTTACTTCTAAATCCTCATAAGTCGGTGTTACAACATCTGGCAAGTTGATACATCCAGGACCAATGTTAGGAACATTAGACTGGTTCTTAGCTTTTTCAGGAGTTCGTAAAAATGCACCATCACTCTGACATCGTGAAAAAGCGTCACTTTTTAGAGCAATCTAAACCGCATCGATAAAAGGAACTCAACGGCAATAAAAAACGTATGAAGTACTGCTGTTTATAGAATTAAGCACTTAAAATAAGGAAAAAAATCGTATCAATAAAATGAAAAAGCGAATTAAAAAGAGCTGTCTAGCAGTTAACACCGACGTAATTACCAACTAAATGAACAACGAAAATGGTTTTGTAGAATTAAATTTTATATATAAACTCCAAAAAATTACGTACGGGGGCAGTTTTTATAATAAATGTAAACTTATGTGATACCGAATGCTTACTAACTGAAGTGTCCGTCTTTTGTAGACAACGTTCAGTAAAGTAAGGTAAGAAGGGTAAAGATATTGCATGACGCAAAGCCAAGTCACCATAAACAGCTTCAGCCTAAACAGCGTCAAATCTCATTCACAATTAGAAAAAAGTTGAAAAAACTTTAGCCGAAATATTTTGGTAAATAGAAGAAAATAAATGAGGTTTGAAACTAAAATTGAGATCTTTTACGGAGAATTCGAAAAGGTAAAGTAACCAACCGTGGCTGCAATAGTTTCCTGTTCTGCCTCAATCAAATTACTCAACTTCACCCGTTCACTTTTCTCAATAAATTTCCTTTTTTTGTACTCGATTGTATCTTGTGGCCATTCCAGATCCTAAATTCAAATTAATCAGTAAAAAAATTTTCCAATTACTACGCACAATCCGTGAGAAAATAAAAAGTAACAAACTTTGATTAGACAGCCGCAACCCACAAGAAACGAGAGAAGTAGACCAAGAAATAACAGTGTAATTCGCCAGCCAAAATTAGTAAAAAGCTGAAATAAAGTCAGTCACACCTCTTTGTTTTAAAAAGTCGCAAATGCGTAAACATGACGATTCTGGGAATAGCAAGAACATACCATTTCTAAAAAAGGAGCGAAAATAGCAGTACCAGCACCTGAGCCGCAAACAGCAATACCCGTTGCCAATGCCCGTTTTTTCTAAATTGTAGAAGACTGAAGCTGTTCAGGAAGATATAGAGCAACGAGTACAAAACTGAAGATTTGTTTAAGGCAATAGCATAAGTGGTAACCTACTTGAAAATAATAAGTTACCGCAACTATTGCTGTATTAAAACATAAGCAAAGCCCGACTCCAACAATCACACCGAAAGTAAAGAGAAACTGCCAAACTCCAAAAGCAAAATACGAGACAAATGCTCCAGATGCAGCTATGATACCACCAACTATTGTCATCCTTCTAAAAAAACTCGGGAACCTCCAGCTAGTCCAATGAAAAAGTTATCAACTTAAAAATAAAACAACTAACAGATCGATATAAGAACCATAAGAATCGTATTTAAAAATGTACCTGCAATCATAAATATCAGTAAGTACACCAGCAACGGGACCTAAGAGAAGCGGCATGGAGAGAAAAATAGAGCCGATGATTCCCGACATTGTCGTTGTCGTATTGAAATTTTCTTGTATCTGAGGAAATAGAATACCGAACGAAAATGAAATACCTACAGATAAAAAAAGATCAAGTGAAGTAAAGCTAATAAACTTTACAAAACAAGATTTTACTTTTCATACTGACAAATGTATCTTAATCAAAAGCGTCAAAGAAGCTAGAAAACAGCAAAAAGATTGGTTAATTTCAATTTTTTAATTAGCTTAATTTGAAGAGAACATAAATACCATCACAAATGAAGTGTATCATAAAGGATGTAAAGACGATAATCCAGCCATAACCTCCGTCGGGAGCCTCTGGAAGCAGTGTTGTCGAAGTGGACGTAGAATGAGACATCCCTAAAACGAAGAAATTGGTTTGAACTTTGTTGTGGCCACGTAAAAAGGTAAATAAACTACGGGTAGACATTTATGAGAACAAAAATGATATGTCCCATCTTGGGCCTACCGCTTCAAAATTATGTTTTGCAAGGACGTAGAAATACAAAGAATTAGCAAAAACTAACTGTCATCTAAAGGAAAAGTGAAATCCCGTGCGTCACGAAGGCGCAAAGCTCTAAGGCTGGTAACAGTCGGTGATTCAGAAAACTAAAGTGAATCACAAACAATTACATGGCAAAGTGGAGAGCAACCAATGTCACCTATAAAACTTTGAAAACGAATGATACACACATTTTATAAAGCTTACCAAAAGAATTTTCTCTTTCGGTATAACTCCAATAAGTTTTTCGTCATCTTTATCGTTACTGTGATCATCAGTATCCTCCACAGGGTCCTCGTTAAACTAAAAAATTTTTTTCACATATGAAAAACGATAACGACAGTTATTTTGAAAGAATAACACATCCAATATTATAAGACATTGAAAGGCAACAGAAGGACCAGTTAATAAACAATGGCTAAGCTGCTAACTAAGTTAAGCTTCAATGAAAGAGAAAACAGAAAGACTGTAAAATCAACAAATAAAAACTTACAGTTTCTTGACCCAAAGTAAACGGTTGCATTCTTCCAGACTCTGTAATCGTTTATTAAATACGGTGGTTATATTCATTTAATATTCCAATTATAAGACAATGAAATAACAGGAAGAGGTGTAAGTTGTACCAAACGTCAGTAATTTAGCATCTGAAAAACAAAGAAATTAACAATGAATGGATAAACTAATTAGAGTCACGCATGCACAAAACGCTAAAAGTTCACTGATCGAAAAGCAAATATATAAGATTTTGGTAAACCACCGAAAGATATAAGTATACTATTGCCGGCTACAAGTTAATTCTCTATCCCCTCTTCCCATAGCTACCATTACTTAAAGATGAATTACTAAAAAAAAAACGAAGTAGAAAAGCAATAAAACCTTCTCTATATTTCACCTTACCTTTCTATTGCCCTGTCATCATTTTTTCAGTTTACCTTTGATTTTCAGCAGTCTAAAATTCCTAAAACAAAAAAAAACAGATAAAAAAAAAAAAACGAAAAACAGAGAGCAAACAAAAAGACATAATTCTTTCCCAGTGAGCTTTTTCAACAAAATTTTGTGTCTGACGGAATACGCTGACAATATTACCACACAAACACACTCTGCAGTTCTCCTTTTCCTTCATCTTTTTCTTTTTGCTTTACATACTTTCGTCTGTTTAAGTATTAAACTGTTTAGCAAACATATTAAACATTAATAACAGCATGTAACAAAAAAAAAACAGCAACGCAAAAATTTGGCAGGGAAAATGACCGTCTGTTGGCGCCTGCTCCCGAGCAACACAAGCTCCAACTGTAAATTCAGCTTCTTTTCGCTACAGCCACAACATCTCTAGTATATAAATTTTTACGGCAAAGGAGCGAAAAAAAAAAAAACCGAAGACTTTTCAGCAAACAAACGAAAAAGCGAATAAAACTGCTTTGTCATCTGTTTCCTTCTCACATTCTCTGTTCAATTCACCCCTTAAAAGCACACTGATTCACCGACATCAAAACCGTCAGCTTCAATGAAGCACAAACAAAAATATTCCGAAAGCGATCTTCTGCAAACTTCCCAAAACTGTCTTTAAGCCAATTCAAACTGAAGAAAACGCAGCAGCTGAAACGCTGTAGTCTCATTACTCCAAAATAATTTAGTGCTCAATAAATCTACGAAATCCAAAACAAAAAGAACCCTGTTTTTCATGATAAATAAATGATCGATTTAGACACATTCAGCACCAAAAAAACATTCTATGGTCACTGCAATAAATCAAAACCGGAAGGATCAAAATGACTAAACATGAGAAATTCAATAAATTCAACATACTCTCAAACCTTAAAAGCCGCATAGACTAATATTGCAGAAAAAGCACTACTCATCCCGTACCCCTCCCCCCAACCACCCACCTAAATCCTTCAGCAGAACAAAACTACAGAAGTGTATATATATCCATATAGTTTACACAAATTATACACGATATATACAACATATAAAACACACGTGAGACACACAATATATATAATTATATAATACATATAATATATAATATATAACATATATAATATACATAATATATATAATATACATAATGTGCATTATATATATATATATATATATATATATATATAT